ACCATTAGTTAGTGAATAACCAATTAAGCATCTCTTGTTTTTCTTACAGCATGCAGCAAAAATTTTCTCCTCATCCTCTTCCTTACAGCTCTTTTTGCCTTTGGAAATAAACACAATTATTGGGAATCTTTGGGAATGGGCCCATTTAATGATATCTTAGATAATTCTTCTGTAAAGTGCACGTTTCATTTTATTCCAAGCCTTTCTTTAATACATTCCTTTCAGTATTTAATAATTGGTGATGCTGGTGGGAAGGCGAACCTCAGTTTATTGGGGTTTAGGAAGCATCACCACCTCAACTCCGTGATCCCAGAAAATTCCTGAAAGATTGGAAGGTTTCTGTGCCTGAGTGGAAATTCAGAGTGGCTTTTTCTCAAGACAGCAAGAGGTATTTTACTGCAGAAAGATTGTGTGGCTATTTTTAGGCCTGGGTACTGGTGAGGTGGAACAGAATATTTTTAGAGCTGTAGAAAATGCAGCCACTCAGGCTGGGTTCTTTTTTTCACACTGGTGCTGGAGGGGTTTTCCAAAATAAAGAGCAGAATTAGTAGAAAATGGCTTTTCTGTATAATTTTTATTTATTAACTAGGTGATCTGTGGATATACATATATATTTTATATATACTTAAACATACAGTGTGTATATATTTATATATATATAGTTTATAATTTATAATTCATTATTTATATTTGTATTTATTTGTTCCTGTATGATTTTAATTGGTTTGACCCTGTGAATACCATCTATTAAAAGAGTTTTTCCCTCAAGTTTTGAGAACTTTTTACCTCAGTGAAATATTTTAAGGAAATCCACAACCAGCAGGACATAACTTTGTCCCTCAGTTAATCTGTACCAATCCTGGATCATGCCTGGAGTGAGGTAAGCCTGGAATAATTCAGGAAATGGTGGTGAAATCAGGAAAAGAAAAGTTTGGGAGAAGAAATTCTGTAACTTTTTAGGTGTTTTGACTTTTCCAAACTCTGTTGCATTCACAGTACAAAAGAAAATATTTTAATATTTAATTAATCATAGTTCTGGAAAAGAAACAACGAACCCAACCCCCCAAAAACATTCCTGGCATCTCTCTGAAGAATGTCCATATTAACTCTGTTGTCCTGGCTTGCTTCCAGCTTTATTGGATTATAAATTCTATTTCCATCCTCTTGGTTTTCAATTGCAGATCTATTTTTACCTTTCTTTTATTAAATAATAATCATTGTTTGCAGGGCACAGTTGTGTTTGTAGTCATCAGAATGATTTTTTTTTGTCTAAAACTGTATTTTTCTAGTTTCAGTCATCCTCCAGAACTTGTAAAAGTAAATTATGTGCTTGATTTGCCAGGATCTGTTTGGTGTTTCAAGCACAGCAGATACACCAGATGAATTAACAGAAATCTGTCAGCTTTTCTGCACCCTGCAATTCCAAATTCCCAGTGCTCCTGCCTTGGAGGATCTCAGATCTTTGGGAATAGAGGAGGTGGAGCCAGAGATAACCACAGAAATTTGGTTTTTAGGGGAAAAGCTGCTCAGTGTTTAATGTGGTTTGGTGGGATCTTCACGCATCATTTGTAGGGTGAGCAGGTCTGGAAGGACTTGATGTGGGCATGAGAAGATGATAAGGGAGAAGATTAGAGAAAACCACAAAGAAAAATCAGATTTTGTGTCTTTTTTAGAGGCAGCTCCCGTGCCAGGGGCAGAGTTGTGTCCTGGGAGTAGCTGAGGAGCCTGCCCACAGCTCAGTTGTAGTTCCAGGGAGTCCCTGCCTGCTCTGCTCCGTCTGGCAGCAGCTTGGAAATATTTTGATTGCCTTTTGGAGCATCTTTGCCTAATTAGCAGGTTTTTTTCCCTTCTCTCTCTGCAGTCTGGCAGCGAGGGCTGCACACAGAGCAGGGCTGGGGAGCAGGGGGGCAGAGCTGCTCTCCAGGGAATGCTGCAGCCCCGGGATCAGGGTCTGCTCACGGCCCCTGGGACACAGTGAGCACACAATTCCAGGAGGGTTTGGACTGGGAGGGAGCTGAAATCCCATCCCCATCCCAAGGATCCCATCCCGTGGATCCCATCCCATTCCATGGATCCCATCCCATCACATGGATCCCATCCTGTGGATCTCACGGATCCCATCCTGTCCCATCCCATGGATTCCATCCCATCCTGTCCCATCCCATGGATGCCATCCCCATCCCATGGATTCCATCCCATCCCATGGATCCCATCCCATGGATCCTGTCCAATCCCATGGATCCCATCCCACTGATCCCATGGATCCCGTCCCATCCCATAGAATGCCATCCCCATCCCAAGGATCCCATCCCATGGATCCCATCCCATCCCATCCCCACACCCTCCACTATCCCAGGGTGTTCCAATCCTTCTCTTGGACATTCCAGGGATCCAGGGAGTTTCTCTGGGTATTCCATCCCACCCCCTCAGAGTTTCTCGGATCCCATCCCATCCCATGGATCCCATCCCATCCCCACACCCTCCATTATCCCAGGGTGTTCCAAGCCTTCACCTGGACATTTCAGGGATCCAGGGAGTTTCTCTGGGAATTCCACCTCAGCCCCTCAGAGTTTCTCTGGGAATTCCACCCCAGCCCCTCCCCTCCCAGTCCCAGGGAGGAATTCTTTCCCAAATCCCATCTAACCCCACTTCCTGGCCATTTCAACCCATCCCCTGTCCTGTCAGTCCCTTTCCAAGTCTCCTCTTCAAGGCTGCAGCAGTATTTGTACAAAAGACACTGAAAACACAAAAACCCCCCCAAATCTCAAGCAGAAATGTCAGAGGCCTTTTTGAATTTAGGTTGTTTTCTGTCCTGGCACAGCTCCTGAGGAGAGCTGGAGTAGGGACAGCTCCCGTGGCAGAACTCAGGGATGTCCTTCCATGTTTTCTCCCAAATAAATGTATAAATGCTTGAATTTGACCAATACTTACTTGGATGTTAGGAAATACTTCTTTCCTGGGAGAGTGGTTAGGTATTGAAACAGCTTCCCCAGGGAAGTGTGGAATCACCATCCCTGGAAGGGCTCAAAAATCCAATTTTGATTTCATTGACAAGGTGCTGTTCAGTCAGGAGTTGAACCTGGTGAACTTTCAGGTCTTTTAATAACTCAGTGATTCTGTGAATGTGGAAGCTCAAACCCCACTTTTCATATCACTGTTTATTAAAAATAAATCTGTTATCAGCATGAGCAAAGGAAAAAGGATGGAATTTCAGAACCTTTGGTCCAAACTTTGTCACAGTTTTCCTGCTGCACACAATTCCAGTTCCTCCTGTTTGCTGTTTCCCTGCTGGATTCCCTAAATTGGAGCTGCTGCAAAAAAGATGGGAAAGGGAAAACTTGGGCAATTCAAGGAATTTTGGTAGCTGCTGGTTGGCTTCCCGAGATAATTGAGCTTTAAATGAAGGTGGCATTAGTTAAATAGTTAGCAGTTTTTAATTAGTGAAATGCTGGAGTTCCCACCAAAGGCTCCCAAAAACCTTCCAGAACTTTTCTAGGAAAGCCAAAGTTGACAATTTCCAGGCTAAAGCAAATAATACCTGGGAGCAAAACCAACCCAGCAGAAAAAACCCATGGAAAAGCAGGAAATAACAACTGGAATTCCCTCATTGCTCTGCAGTGCATGAGCTTAGCTAATTCAGCTTTTGTTAATTAGAGTTTGTAATTGTGATCTTGCCATTTATAGCTAAAAATAGGTGTCAAATTCTACGGAAGAGCAAATGTGAAAGCAGATTTTCATTGTTAATTGTATACATTGTGTCTGTTTCCTGCAGACATTGTGCTAGCAGGGAGGAAACGTATGCATTTCAAACCCTGAGTTATTTATAAAACTTAATTCTTTCTCAAAGACTCCAAGCAGCAGCTTCATGTCCCTGGTCCTGCTCATGCACAGCAGCAGGTAATGGGATAAATGAAGGATTTTGGAGCAGTGTGATGCAGGGAAGATAAAAAATGGGATTTTGGGAGGTTCCTACTGTAATATTTACACTCAGTGTCTTTGCTGTTGTTGGTTCCAACCCACCACACGCTGCTTGGAACAAAATCTCAATTCTCACCCTGAAATACTCACTCAGCTGTCACTCAGGGATGAGTCAAGAATGCATTATAGTAAACCAAAAAATGGGAAATTTATCCAGTGTTTAGTGCACAGATAATTGTATTGGTTTATTCAGAATATTTATATTATATAATATTTATTCAGAACTTACAAATTTATTCAGATATTTATTCAGAACTTACAAAATGATGAAGAATAATGAGATTGAAGTGCAACTTCCAAGCAGCTTTTCATTCGGTGTGTGTTGGTGTGTGGAATCATTCTCTGGGGACATGATGCTTTCTTTCAATTTATTCCTTAAAAAACCCTTTTCATTGCTGCAGTGGCCCTGTGAAAGGCTGTGCTTTAGCTAAAACCACTGTTTTAGGGATATTTAACATCAGTTTCCAGCAGGAGCATTTTACTCCTGAGCACTGTTTGGTTCTGGAGTGCTGTGGCACAGGGTGGAAAGGCTTTAAAATCAGATTTTATGGCTGCACATCTCACGAGTTCTTGGCTTATTCTGGATATATTTGGTGCATTGAAGTCCAAAAAACGTCAGGGTGAAATGTGAGATGTCCCACGTGTTGTGCTCTGCCCCTCTGTGAACTTTGACAGGCCGAGCCTGATCTGGTGCACGCAGGGAAATAAAAAAGTGATTGATGAGAAATCCTCAGATGTATTTTTATTTCATATCAGAGCACGTTTGACATGAAATTACAGCGATAAAAAGCCTTGATTTGCCTCAGCTCTGCTGTTATCTCCAGCCCTATTTTAATGTACACTTTATAGGCACATAAAGTTTGTTCATTGTATTTTTATTTACAGGAGGCTTCCAATGGCAACTTCCTCCAAAGCTCTTCAGAGCCAGATGTGCCTGATGCTGCTGAAGTTTAAAAAAAAAACGTGTGTTCTGACTTGATTTAATGATTTCCTGCTTTTTGATGCTCTCTGCTCTCTTGCAGCCTCAGATAACAGCCAGAGGTTTCGGGAAACCTGCTTTGCCTTCGCGCTGACGCCGCAGCAAGTGCAGCAGATCAGCAGCTCCATGTGAGTGGGCTGCAGCAGCCCTGAAATCCCAATCATCCACCCCAAATCTGCCCAGCTTTCCACAGCCCTGCTTGGGAACGGCAGGGGAAACTCCTCAGGGGAATTTGTGTGTCTCCTTGTGTGGGGAGGAGGGAATTCAGCCCCTCCGCTGACTTTGGGGTGGGTTTCTCTGGTGTTAGGCTCCCTAAAAATTCAGAATTCTGCTTCCTGCAGCTCTTACTTGCCACCAGTTTCTCTGTTAATTCGTTAAAAAGTTGTGACTTTATGAAAAACCAAAAATCCCCCCACAAAAACAACCCATAAAACACATAACCCACCTAAAACAAAAAACAACAAACAAACAAAGACCAAACCAACCAAACAAAAAAACCCAAACACAACCAGCAAAAAATCCCAGCAAACAAACAAAACAAAAAAACCCCAAACCCCAAAAAATATACAAAAAAAAAACTCCCACAAACCAACAAAAAACCCTCAAACAAAAACCCCCACAAAAACAGAGGTCAGACACAAATTTATTTCTTCAAAAAGTAAGAGCTCTTCCTTTTAACCTCTCCTGAGAGTGGTGGTTTGAGCAGGAGCAGCAAAGGCTGGTGTACATTATACATATACCTAAGTGGGAAATATCCATTTTTTGTGTAAAAAATAAGTGTTTTCCATAAACTGAACTTCCAGCAAACTCCTGAGGAATCTATATTGCAATACTGAGCAGCAGGATATTTTAATCAATTTTCTCTTGTTTCCAGGGATATTTCTGGGACCAAATGTGACTTCACAGTACAGGTCCAGCTAAGGTAGGGATTTTGTTGCCTGTTGGTTTTTAGGATTGATCAGCCAGGTCCTGCCCAGCAGGTTGGGAATTCCTGGATGGAAAAGAGCTGATTTTCCTCATGCTGCTTGATTTTTTTGTCAGTGTATCCTTCCTGTAACTCCACCTTGGTCATTCCATGTCCTGGGGCTGGAAAATCCATGAGCAGGGAGGGTTGGTTTTTTTTTTTAGCCTGGATATTCCAAGACCTGCTTCTTTAGGAATCACAGCCTGGTAAATTTGGGATTTTTTAATCAAATATAAATGGATTAAATCCTCTGTCTCAGCCAGGTGGGGTGGGATGGACCAAGATGAGGAGAGAATGAACAAACCCCTCTTGGATTGTGCATGGACAGGGATGGGGCAGGTCCCTGGGAGGAACCCGGGGCAGGTCCCTGGAAGGAACCCAGGGCAGGTCCCTGGAAGGAACCCGGGGCAGGTCCCTGGAAGGAGCCCGGGGCAGCTGAGAGGTTCTGCTGCTCCTGGGAATGCTCATTGTCCTGCTGGCAGCAGGAAAGGTGTGTCCTGCTGGGACCCAGCAGCAAAAACACCTCTTGGAACTGGAAAGAAATAAAACCAACAGCAGAAACTGCCTGGAAGTGCAGCTGGGATGGGGAAATGTCATTTGTAACACCTTGGTGTTGTGTGGAGAGATCAGGCTGGAGAAGAGGCAGAGAAGAAATTGGGGGTGGGATGAGTCAGGCTGAGGAATTCAAGGAATCTGAGGAGGAACCTCCAGGCTGCTTGAAGCCCCGTGGTTTTGGGGGGTTTTCCTGCTCAGTGACATCACTGCAGGGCTGTGTTCAGCAGGATCTGTCATGATTTCAGAGCTCACTGGAAAAAGAATTCCTTCGAGGAAGAGATGATCTTTAAATCGCTGTAAAAGTGAAAGATGATGGCAGCTCTTTGCTTTTAGGTTTTGTTTATCAGAAACCAGTTGTCCACAAGAAGATCACTTCCCACCCAATCTGTGTGTGAAAGTCAATGGGAAACCATGCAGCCTTCCAGTAAGTAAAATCTGCTTTTAATACTCATTTTGGGATGAATTATTGGGAGTTTTCTGCCTGAAAATGTATCCCAATCTTGGTTTTCACATTCTGGAGCATTGGAATGAACAGAAAAGATCAAGTAATTTGTTTTAGCCAGGTAGATCCAGAAGTTCATGTGGAAGTTAAAAAACCCCTTTTCAAGATCATATATTTAGTAATACTAACACGAGCAGGGAAAAAAGGATTGAATTTTAGAAACTCTGGTCCAAAGTTAGGGGTTTTTGTTTAGCGCTGCTGAGACAGGAGAGGTGGCAAAGTTCCCTTTGATACTCTTTGGGCAGGGTTAGGATTTTGGATTTCCATCAGGAGAAAGGGCTTCTAAAATGCTCAATATTTTATTGTCTGATCCCTGTCTCTTTGAATTAAACACAGAGCCTGGTCCAGGTGTATTGGGAGGGACAGGACACAAAAGCACTGTGGGATTCTTTTTTCTGAGAGCTGAAATTCTGGTTTTCAGGGCTACCTGCCACCAACCAAAAACGGTGTTGAACCAAAGCGCCCCAGCCGACCAATCAACATTACCTCACTCGTCCGCCTGTCCACCACGGTCCCCAACACCATCGTGGTGTCCTGGACTGCAGAGATTGGCAGGGTGAGTCAGTGCCTCTGGGCTCTCTTCTGTCTGCTCTAGACATAATCCTGGCAGAGGTATCCTGGGGTGACCACGGATGTTCTTGTTCAGCTGGAATTCCGTGCTCCCTCAGATCCCTTCCTCACCTTCGGGGTGGGATCTCTCCCTCCTCATCTCTGTGACTCAGGGAGGGCCAGATAAAGAGATCAAGGCATCCTCTAAGCCTTTTGTTTGTTGATTTGGCCAAACTTCAGACTTTGAAGCTCTTCCTGACTGCAGGGACTTGACAAAACTTGGCTTGGACTTGCAGGAGCGGGTGCCATCGAGCCCAGGGTGGCCCTTTAGAGCTGTGAGTGTGGACACAAAACACTGATTCCATTGATTCCATTGACCTTTTCTACATTTCTCCCAGCTGCTCTCCTTATCCTTCACGTTTAAAACCTCCTGTTTTCATAAGTTTTTTGTGTCTGTGGGGAGAAGGTTACAACTGGTGTTAGAAAATTGCTGATGTTCCACCGGGCTAATGAAATCTGGAACATGCTGCAAAAAGTGACTTCAGTAAATCAGCCAGGAATTACTGAGCTGCTTTCAGTGCTGGCACCAAAGCTGCTGGGTGGGCATTCCAGAGGCGCCGTGTGCTGCTGCCACTGCCCCCATCCTGTTTTTAGAAGTGCCCAGAATTGTCCTGAGGTGAAACTTTGGCCAAGAATTTGCCAGTATGCAAAGCCCAGCATGGAAAAATGCTTACACTCCAGTCAGGGACAATGGGCAGCTCTGAAACACCAGGGTGGCATTTCGGGGTGGATTTCTTGTGGAGCACAAAACAATCTCTATTCAGATGGTGGCATAAAGGATGGCTGAGTGATCCTGGTCCAAAAAAATCCTCTTTTATCTAAGAGGTGTCGCAGGTGTTAGAAAGAAGCAGTTCCAAATCAGCCTGCTTGGGTGAAGTGCAAGTGGGTGAGTCCCAGATGCTGCTCTGAGGGATTCCCAGTTCAGGATTTAGGGACAAGAAGTGCCCCAAGTTTGAGTCAGTCCCTTGGGACCTGGCTGGTTCTCAGGTTTCACAGATGAATCAGTTATAAAGAACATTTTGGGGAGCTTCTGGCATAAATAAGCATTATATCCAGAATTGTAGGACAGGGTTGGAGCAGCCTGGGACAGGGGAAGGTGTCCACCCATGGCAGGGGTGGAATGGGATTTAAGATCCCTTCCAACCCAAACCATCCTGGAATTCTGTAAAAAACAGTCCTTCCTAAACAGATTCTTTAGGATACAACCCTTCCTAAATTGATTCTTTAACACAGTCCTTCCTAAATAGATTTTTTAAGACACAGCCTTTCCTAATTTGACTCTTTGAGACTTTGACAGTGAAATGTGAAGAATTATTTTATATTTGGCAGTGCCTGTGTAGCACAAAGTCTGAGTTCCCCTCTCCCCCTTCCCTCAAGAGTCAGTTCTGGTCCCGACTGTGCTCCCTACCTTTGCTGGAGTCCTCACTGTGATTTTTACACAATCTGTTTCAAGAGCCTTCTGTACAAGATGCCTTGGGCAAGTTCCTGCCTTTGTAGATTCAAGCTGTCGGTAAATAATTTCACAACGTTAATTAGCATTTTTCTAACTCCTCTCCTAATTGAGGCATTAAACAAACAAGTTAAGGCAGTAGTGGTTTTTAACGATGTGAGAAGCATTCATTGTGAGAATAAAATATTTAAAATGTGGTGTTTCTGATGCTGCTCCACTTGGTGTGATTTTGTGGTGAGATATATCACTGAGATCCTGCCTTCAGATCCTAAATAAAGGATGGGGGATGTCACAATTACATGGATTTTTTTTCAAGTGGAAACGTGTGGCAGTTGCTGAGGGAAGCCTTTTCTTTTTCAATTTAAATTGTATGAATGCAGCTCAGGTTTAGCCAATGTTCAAATCAAAAAATAATTGATGCACCCTAATGTGAGAGCATGGATTTGGTCCTTTCCATTCTGGAGGCTGAGAGGTGTTGCTGCTGAGTCACATTTTTAGAAAGACATAACCTGATTTTTTTGAGATTATAATTAAAATGAGAGCTTCAGAAATCCCAGGAATTTGGGCTCCATGGCAGAAAGAGTTCATTCCATGAGGGAAGGTTCACCTGAGTTGTGGGACTTGACAGAGTTGGGTTCTGCCTCTGAGCTGCTGTGGTGATGAAATTCACATTTCAGAGACAATTGAGTGCAGAAGGAGAAGAAAAAGATGGCCAGTGCTTCCAGATACTGCAGGGGATGCATCTTGGGAAGAGGCATCGCTGCTCATTTTCCTGTTTTGAAAACAAAATAGGCTTTTAGTAAAAAAAAAAAGAAAAAAATTCTGATCATATTTGACCTGACAGCTTTCCTTAAATGCACTGACACCAGTGCAGTGCTGAACATTATCCATATAAAATTCAATGTACTGACACCAGTGGAGTGCTGAATATTATCAATATAAAATTAAATATACTGACACCAGCGCAGTGCTGAACATTATCCATATAAAATTCAAGGTACTGACACCAGTGCAGTGCTGGACATTATTCATATAAAATTAAATACACTGACACAAATGTAATGCTGAACATTATCCATGTGAAATTCCATGTAGTGGCACAAGTGTAGTACTGAATATTGTCAATATAAAATTGAAGCAGCTCTTCTCCAAGGTGCCCTGCAATCCCATAACAAACTGTTACGTGCTGCAGACAGGGATTTCCCCTGCTGTTTTTGGGGGTTTTCTCTGATGTTTTGGGTGTTTTCCCCAATGTTTTTGGTATTTTCTCAGCTGTTTTTGGGTTCTCTCTGATATTTTGTGGTGTTTTCCAGAACTATTCCATGGCAGTGTACCTGGTGAAGCAGCTCTCGTCCACAGGGCCCTGCAATCCCATAACAAAATGTTGCATGCTGCAGACAGGGCTTTCCCTGATGTTTTTGGGGTTTTCCCTGATGTTTTTAGTATTTTCTCAGCTGTTTTTGGGTTTTCTGTGATATGTTGTGGTGTTTTCCAGAACTATTCCATGGCAGTGTACCTGGTGAAGCAGCTCTCCTCCACGGTGCCCTGCAATCCCATAACAAAATGTTACATGCTGCAGACAGGGCTTTCCCTGATGTTTTGGGGTTCTCTGTGATATGTTGTGGTGTTTTCCAGAACTATTCCATGGCAGTGTACCTGGTGAAGCAGCTCTCCTCCACGGTGCTCCTGCAGCGGTTGCGGGCCAAGGGAATCCGGAACCCCGATCACTCCAGAGCACTGAGTATGTGTCTGCTGGGCTTTTGTAAAGGGAAAAAAAAATCACTTTTGTGAGGGGAGATTTGGAATTAGGACTGTGCTAACCAAGCTTTGGACTTCCTACAGCCCTCTGGGCTTTGGGAATGTGATAGTGGTGTTCTTTGTGTTCAGCTCCAATTCAAAGACTCAGAGCCTTTGTTTGCACTAGGAGCCAGTCCAGGAACCCTGTTGACACTGTGAGGGGAAAAATGCAAGAGAATCTCTTTCAGCTCAGCCATCCTGGCTTTGTTTGTGCAGAATGGCACAACTGTGCTCTGCAGTCAAGTGGGCATTCAGTAAAAACCTCAGGAGAAGAAATTGGTGGAAGTTTGTAGCATAAAAACAGCAAAAACTGCTGTGGGTTTGGTTTTCAGGGAGAGGGGAAAATCCCAGCACCTGATCAGTATAAAATTACTCTTTAATTAATGCTCACATCAGGGGTTGTACCTTCTACAGAGGGGAAGAAATGTAAAAAAATAGTGCAGAATGTGTTTTACAGTGAAGTGGGCTGAAGGCCTCAGCCTGGGCCTGGGCAGGAGCAGCTCCACAGAGCATTTTCTGTCCCCAAAGTTGTGGGGTGAGCCCGGGCAAAGTGCCCAGCACAGAGCCCCTCCTCACCACAGAGTGAATTTGCTGCCTTTCTGTTTCCTCTGACAACAAATCGGTGGGAATTTGTGGCACAAAACCACCAAAAACTGCTGTGGGTTGGTTTTCAGGGAGGGGGGGAAATCCCAACACCTGATAGTGGTGTTACTCTTTAATTAATGCTCACATCAGGGGTTGTACCTTCTACAGAAGGGAAGAAATTAATACAGCACTAAAAGTGGTGCAGATTGGCACAAGTTTGACCATGTTACACAGTGGAGTGGGCATTCAGCACCTCAGGGCTGAAGCCTCCCCCTGGCTCTGGGCATTTCTGTCCCCAAAGTTGTGGGGTGAGCCCGGGAGAGTGCCCAGCACAGAGCCCCTCCTCATTCCAGAGTGAATTTGCTGCCTTTCTGTTTCCTCTGACCACAAATTGGAGGAAGTTTGTGGCATAGAAACAGCAAAAACTGCTGCGGGTTTGGTTTTCAGGGAGAGGGGAAAATCCCAGCACCTGATCAGTATAAAATTACTCTTTAATTAATGCTCACATCAGGGGTTGTACCTTCTCCAGAGGGGAAGGAATAAGTGCAGCACTACATAATAATGCTGGGCATTTATTTGTCTTAGTTCAGTTTGATGATTTATGCACAAAATGCATGAAAAATGCACACAAATCTGTGGCTTCATGGACAATATGCACAAATATTTACAAAGTTCCAGGTAGCTGCTGCTCTTAAAGGTGAGGATGAAGGTGTAGGTCCAGTTCTTAGAGCAAGAATAAAATGAGTCTGACTTGTTCATTTTACCAATGACTGCTCATGAAACAGGCTTTGTAAATAAAAATAGAGGATGAAAAACTTCAGAAATTAAAGAAGTCAGTGTTTCACTGCAGGTATTTAAATCTCAGATTTTGCCAGGGTACTGCCTATTGCTCAATTTGCTTTTCAGTTTGAAGTCACTTGATGAGGATTTTGGGGGTTTATAGTGGTGCCTGTCCATGTGAGAGTTGTTAACAAGTTTAGCTTGGAGTTGGAAGTGAAATTAATGTGATATTTAGTATTAAATAATGGTCAGGTACAAAATTGCATGCAAAGGAGTTAAGATATATCTGGAGAAACAAGTTTCAGGGGTCTTGAATTCAAAGTTTACCACGCCATTTCAGATTTATTTTATTTCTTTATCATCCAATTCATGTTTGAATTTACCTAAAATAACCCTTTTCTTCTTTCAAATACCAGTTAAAGAGAAACTAACTGCTGATCCAGACAGTGAAATAGCAACAACCAGCCTAAGAGTGTCTCTTCTTTGTCCAGTAAGTTGATTTTTTATTTCCTCAAAAGTGATTCTGATGGAAATGTGGCTGTTGTGGTGGAAATTACCTCGTGTTTACCTGGTAGAACTTTGTGGGGACAGGGAGCAGCTGAAATTATCTCTGTGCTGAAAAGCTTCTGAAATGCCCCTGGGAAAATGAATATTCCATTAGCTTGGAAATGTTACTCAAAATATATGTAAGCATACATTTAATGTGTCACTGGATCCTCTGAGAGTGCAGCTGGGGCTTGGATTGATAAAAACTCTCAAAATGGGGAAAGGGGGAGATCTGATGTTCTAAGGAGGCAGCACCTCCTGGAACTGTGCAAATGCACCCTTGGATTTCATAATCTGAATTTGAAGCCAAGGCAGTATCCTGGAGTTGTTCACACAAAATGTTTGGATCCAGGGGGAAGTGAGAGGAAATAATTCCAGTGAAAATACAAGTGGCAGAGATCTTGGTGTTCTCACTGGTTTTTAACCAAGTAGATGCACTGTTTTATACCTGGATTTATGTTACCAGTGATAAATTATTAATAATTTGTCATTTTAACATGATGTGTGCATTTCTTTGAATCTCTGGGACTGGTTTCAGGTGCAGGGCACCTTCAGAATATTTGAATTCTTTCTTGATTGACAGAGTCCCTTTACTGCAGCACAACTGATGAAGTTCTTACCCAAATTAATCACACATTAAATTAATGTCTTCAATTCCACTAGATGCACCAAGAGATATTTAAAATAATTAATTAATGCTTCAGTGTTCCAAAATAGGACATGGAAGTTACAGGTTTTTGGGATTATCAGTTCTGAGGTTTTAACTCTACAGATCAGGACTTAATTTGGTAGATGAAATCCCTGTATCTTTCCACAGATTCATTTTATCTTCCTTAGAAGTTCCTTAACTTCCTTAGTTAGAATCAATGCTGATATGGAGAAAGGAATAAAATTGAAGATCATGACAATATCACATTTAAAGATTTGCAAGAATATAAAGTATCTATACATACACATATACACATATAAAAATAGAATTATATCTTTTATATATTTGTATTTAATTATAAATTTTATTATATTTTATTCATATTTATATCTAAATATCTATATACATACATATATACTTTATATAAATATAAAGTAACCACACAGTTAATTGTGCTTTTTATGAAGCAAAGCTTACACCTCTAAAAGTTGATCTCTTTACAGTCTAAGAACTTATTTAACAACTTGAAAAATAAAAAATTCCTCCAATTTTGGAGGAATAAACTCCAGTTTTTCAGAGGGGCTTCTCTGAGCTTGGACTTCAGAGCACACTCAAGTTCATGTTCATTTTCCCCCTGAAAGCACAAAGAAATAAATCCCCAAGCCCTGCAGTTGAACCAAATATTTAACTGGAGGAAAATTCCAAATCCGGGGCTCTACTGGAGCTTCTGCAGCTTTGTTTACAAATCCTGAACTCCTGTTTTTTAGCAGGGAAAGAGAAATGTTTTGTGTGCTCGTAAAAGAAATTAATGCAGTGGTTTTTGGCTGCCAACAGGCAGGAATCAGTCCCAGTGATGGGAATGCAGCTTTTGCACACTTGGGATGCATCCCTGGTTTTGTTTTGTTTTGTTTTTTGTTTTTTTGTGGCAGAGCTGATCCAGAAGGTTCAGTGCCAAAAATGGGGGAAAAGCATCAACCTGTGAACTCTGAGTGTGGTTAAATCCCATCTCAGACAGAGGTTTTATACCAAAACCTTGGAAAAAAAAATCTTCCTGGCTTTTAAATCTGGTTGGGTTTTTTCCCCTCAGGGACATCACAGGCAGAGGTTTTCTACCAAAACCTTGGGAAAATGTTCCATCCCTGGTTATCTGCTTTTTGTTTGTTTGTTTGTTTGTTTTCTACCAAAACCTTGGGAAAAATCTTCCTGGTTTTTAATCTGCTTTTTTCCTCTCAGGAGATGGGGTTTTATTGTCCTTCCTATCTTTGACTTTCCTTATTTTCCTTTTGAAGCCTCCAGGTTTTCCTTTTGATGCTCCTGAGCTGGGAGAGTGCCCAAAAATGAAACGAGCCATTGCCCCAGCACCTGGGAGATGAGAATTCCTGACAGACTGAGCAGGGGGGGAGCTGATTTTGGGGTGGGATTAATGTGATTTTGGGGATGGGAATAATGTGATTTTGGGGATGGGAATAATGTGATTTTGGGGATGGGAATAATGTGATTTTGGGATGGGAATAACGTGATTTTTGGGATGAGAGGAATGTGATTTTGGGATGGGAATAATGTGCTTGATCATGGATCTGGGGGGAGGAGATGCCAAACATCTGGCACCAGAGCATCTCCTGTGGGAATTCTGTATCCCCAGGGAATTCTGTATCCCCTCTCCTCACTGGGGACTGGGTGACAGTGACTGTGAGCCAGAGGGAAGGAAAATAAACGAGATTTCAGTTCAGAGGGAATGAAAACAAGCCCTCACCATCAGGCTGGAGGAAGTGGTGGCCTGTGAGAAGAGCCTTTGTTTGTGCTGTGGGGTTGGGTTTGGGATATTCTGGTGCCATCCTGTGGCATCCTCCTTGTACTGCTCAGCATCAGCTGGATTGAGCCACGCTCCCAGAAATTCCTCTCCCAGCCCTGGCAGCAGCCAGGGGATGTTTTAGTGAACTCCTCGGTGTGAACAATTCTCCTCCTGGTGCCTCAGGTGTAGATTTTCTGTATTTCAGGTTCTGAGCTGCTTTAGTGGGTGGGTCTGAGCTCCACACTGGGGATGGTGAGCTGTGCACAGAGCAGGGAGACAAAACAATTCCTGCTCCAGCTGGGCACCAAGGACAGATGATCCAAATCTCAGCCCAGGAGCACAAAGCCCGTGGAATGAAGAGAGGAAAACAAGGATGGGACTGCAGGGGCTGCAGTGGGATTGGACACTGAGCTGCAATGTGCACATGGAGCAGAGCTGAGCCCAGGGACAGAGCCGTGACCCTCGTGCATTTTGGGGCCATTTGGGTTCATCTTGGGTGCAGCCCTGGCTGGGCTCTGCTGCTGCCCAAGGTGGATCCATGGAGGAGATCCTTGAATCAATCCCTGCTTTATTCTGGAGCTGTGCCCAGCCCCTGCTCCAGCTCAGCCCTCACAAGGCATCACCCCATAAATCACTGTTCTGTTGGGTTTTCATGTGGTGAAAATCCCATTCCCACCTTGCTGCTCTCACCTTTGGTGTGGTCGGTCCAGGCCCCTCCTGAGCTGCAGCAATGCTTGAAACAAGAGAAGTGATTCAAATAAACAAAAATACATATTATAGCAGAGCCATCTAACACAAGGTAGTCAATAAACAACAAAGTTCAAAGAGTTTCTTTTTTGTTCTACCAAAAGGAGGGAATGTAGGAAATAGTAGAGGTAAGAAGATTTCCAGAAAACTGTAAAAACAAGCCTTAGAAACAGAAAGAGCAGAGAAAAAAGAACTAACTACAGCTGCAAAATCTGAAAGTAGAAAAATTACAATAGTATAGCAAGCAAGAACACTTGGGTTTTTGAGCAACTGCTGGGGTTTTGTGAGGAGATTTTTATTTCAGAATAAAGTGAAATTCCTTTTGCTGTGTGCTTTCCTTTCAGTGTAATGATACTTTCATGATAATGAAGGATAATTCTGGTTTTGGTCCATGTGATACATGGAATAATATATAATAAATCTATTTTTGGTCCATCCAGGACACTGCTATTTACAGGTACTCAGTGCATTTTGTTACAGGAATATAGCAGGATGTATTCTTCAGCTTCCTGAAAATCACACAACTCAAAACATGATTTTTATTCACTTTTATGCCATTTCAGACATGCAGGAAGGAGGGAACTGTGCATGTGACAAAACTCAGACTCCTGAGCGTTCTTTCTGGAATACAACTCAACCTAACTCCTGTCTCTTTTCAGGCAGCATTAATTAAATTATTCCTGGTGGTTAATTTAACACCAAGGTAGTAAAATCCTGTTTTTTTCCTCTTGCAGCTCGGCAAGATGCGCCTGACCATCCCCTGCAGGGCCCTGACCTGCTCCCACCTGCAGTGCTTTGATGCCACCCTCTACATCCAGATGAATGAGAAGAAACCCACCTGGGTGTGCCCTGTGTGTGACAAGAAAGCCCCTTACGAGCACCTCATCATCGATGGGTGAGTGAAGCTGGGAGCAGAGCCCACATGGGATGGTTCTGGCTGAAATGAAGTGGATTTCCCTCCTTTCTGCAGCTCCCCACGTTGGATTTCCCTGCTGCTGCTGCTCAGGAATTCCTGAGCAGCTCCTGCTCAAGAACTCTGCTCCTTCAAACTCAGTTTGATAATAATGAGAGCAATTCTCAGTGAATTCCTGAGCTTTCCTAGGTGCAAACAGCTCGTGTTGTATTTCCTTTTAATGGAGCAGCTGTACAAATGTGGCAGGGCTGCTAACAGACAGAGCAAATCAATGCTGCCACCCCTCTGAGTGCCGGCACAACTCCGTGTACAATTTCACACTCGGGGAGTTGCTATCTATAGCAAGTGACACACAGATTGATTCCCTGGCTCTGCCTGCTTGCAAAACACCAAAAAAATAAATAAATCTCACCTCGGGCTGGGCCAAGTGTGGATTTCTGGGTTTGCATTTTAATTTCTTGAAGACAGAAATTTTTCTTTTTTTTAAGATAGAAAGAGATAACAAGTAGGGGTTTCTGAGAATACTCTCAATATAAAACAAAGCCCAAAAATTGATGAAACATACACACTAAAACCCCAAAAGCAAAGCTGAAAAGCCCCAAGAAACACCAAAATGTTGAAAAACCACCTCATCAATGAGGAGTTTTTGAGGGAATGTGTGTTTTATTTTGCCAGGGAAGGATGAGGTCACTCAGGATCCCTTTAGAGCAAGAGACACTCAGGCTGTTCTGGACTCCTGCAGCCCCAGATTTCCAGGGATAAATCTGCCTTGGATCAAAGAGCTGGGGGGCTCCTCCTTGAGGTTTCTGCCTAAAACAGCAAAAAACCAGGAATAATGCAAACCCCATGTTTCCCTTATTTCTCCTGGTGCTGCCAGGTGCAGATGTTGGGTCTGATCTAACTGGAGCATCCCAAAGGGAAAGTTATTTGTGGAAAATGCTCCAATTTGGGAAAAAGGGAGCTAATTAAAGCCAAGCTCTAATTAAAGCCAAGCTCTTCCCTGCAGAACCACATGAATGGCCCTGGTCAGAAGCTGGAATTCCCACTGGCAGTGATGTGCTGCCAGGATCTTAAAATTTTAGGAGGTGCCTGTGGGAGAAGAGGCTGCAAATTGAGATTCCCATGCTCAGCTTTCTGTAGGAAGTTTCACAAGGCCTTCAATCCTCAGATTTAAGAGAGGTTTTCTCAGTTAAGGACTTTTTTGTCAACTCTGGTAAAATTCAATTCATAGAATTCCTTTGTTTTGGGAAATGGAGAGTTCTGTGTCACAAGCTCTGCAGGATTCCACTCTCAGTGCTTTTAAATAAAAATCTTCATTTTTGCAGATTTTTATTTTAGGTAATACTTGAATTTTGTCAGTGATTCCTTTTTATCAAGGAGGCAGCTGAGAGAAGAGCAGAACAGTAGAAGCTTCACCACAAATTCAAATTTACACTGACTAATAAAGGGAAAAAAAGCTCTTTTTTAGGACTGATATGAAATATTTTTGATGGACAGGTTGTTCATGGAAATCCTGAAGTTCTGTACAGATTGTGATGAAATCCAGTTCAAGGAGGACGGGTCCTGGGCTCCCATGAGGTCCAAGAAGGAAGTGCAGGAGGTGACAGCATCCTACAACGGAGTGGATGGTGAGCCCTGGGCTGGGAAGGGCACTCTGGGCTCCCCTGTGTTCCTTCACCTCCCAAAATGCTCATTTTTAAACATATTTTATAGCTTTAATCATTTCTGTTCAGCTAATTGGGTCGCACCTGTCTGGGGCTGATGGTGTTTAAAGTTACCAACATTCTGTGATTATTTTTTCTTTAAATGCTGAGCTTTTTGAGGAGCTGTGGCTGATTGTTGATTCTGTGCAGGCTGCATCAGCTCCTCCATGGAACACCAGGTGTCCTCTCACCAACAGTCCAACAAGAACAAGAAGGTGGAAGTGATCGACCTGACCATCGACAGCTCCTCAGACGAGGAGGAGGAGGAGCCCTCGGCCAAGAGGAGCTGTCCCTCCATATCCCCAGCGTCCCCCATGAACAGCAAGGGGTGAGCACAGGGCTGCAGGGCCACCCAGAGCTCCAGAGCAACCCAGCTCTGGAAACTGCTGCTCTGGGTTAGAGCCTCAGCTGGGAGCTCTGGCTTTGCTCCAGCACGAGGCCCGAGCTCGGAATCACAGCTTGGGGTGAAGGGAAATATTTCTGTGTGCTGGTGACATGGTGCAAAGGGAAACCAGACTTTTGAGTGGGAACATGATGAAATATTTCAGTTGTGTTTGTGACGTGGTGCAAAGGGAAATCACAGCTTTGAGTGTGCAACACAAATATTTCTGTTGTGGTTTTGAAATGGTGCTCAGGGAATCAAAGATTTAAGTGTGGAACACAAGGAAGTATTTCATGTGTGTTTGTGAAATTGTGCAAAGAGAAATCACAGCTTTGAGTGTGGAACACCATGAAATATTTCAGTTGTGTTTGTGACGTGGTGCAAAGGGGAATCACAGCTTTGAGTGTGCAACACAAATATTTCTGTTGTGTTTGTGAAATGGTGCAAAGAGAATCAAAGATTTAAATGTGGAACACACTGAAATATTTCAGTTGTGTTTGTGAAATTGTGCAAAGAGAAATCACAGCTTTGAGTGTGGAACACCATGAAATATCTCAGTTGTGTTTGTGAATTGGTACAAAGGGAATCAAAGATTTAAATGTGGAACACACTGAAATATTTCAGTTATGTGTGTGACATGGTGCAAAAGGAAACCAGACTTTTGAGTGGGAACACAATGAAATATTTCAGTTGTGTTTGTGACGTGGTGCAAAGGGAAATCAAAACTTTTGAGTGGGAACATAATGAAATATTTAAATTGTGTTTGTGAAATGGTGCAAAGAGAGATCAAAACTTTTAAGTGTGGAACATGATGAAATATTTCAGTTATGTGTGTGACATGGTGCAAAGGGAAATCACAGCTTTGAGTGTGCAACACAAATATTTCTATTGTGGTTTTGAAATGGTGCGCAGGAATCAAAGATTTAAGTGTGGAACACAATGAAATATTTCAGTTGTGTTTGTGAAATTGTGCAAAGAGAAACCAAAACTTTTAAGTGGGAACACAATGAAACATTTCAGTTGTGTTTGTGAAATTGTGCAAAGAGAAACCAAAACTTTTAAGTGGGAACACAATGAAATATTTAAATTGTGTTTGTGAAATGGTGCAAAGAGAGATCAAAACTTTTAAGTGTGGAACATGAAATATTTCAGTTGTGTTTGTGAAATGGTGCAAGGGGAATCACAGTTTTAAGTGTGCAACATAATAAAATAAATCAGTTGTTTGTGAATTGTGCAAATGGAATCACAGCTTTGAGTGTGGAACACAAAATATTTCAGCTGTATTTGGAAAAAGTGAGTGTAAAATGATGCAAAAGGCACAAAAGTGTGGATTTTGCAGATCTGGGAATGTTTTTCTTCCATAGGGAAACGTGGAAGCAGCAGGCAGGGAGGAGCAGGGAGTGGGAATAGGGAGTGCCACAAGCACCTGGGCACACCTGAGCAGCCAGGCTGGAAATAGCTCCTGCTTTGCATAAATACTCTGGGATGGAAGCCAGGATGCTGTGGGAAGTGTCCCTGCTCCAGTGGAATGAGTCAGTGATCCCTCAAGCCCTGACGCTGGAATCTCCTTGCAGGGTGTCAGTGCTGTGGGGTCTCACAGGTCCCTGTGGGGTTTGGGTTCAGTGTTCCTTCAGGATTGTCTGTCCTTGTTGGAAACGCCTGTAACACATTTCCAGAGACCCCAGCACCATGGCTGCTGTTTGGGACTGAACTTTGCTTTCCCAGATTCCAGCTGTGCTGGACTGAAGGGAAGTTCCTGATGGAATATTGTGAGGAGAAGCTTGGGGAGTGTGTGATGTGGCTTTGGAGTGGCTGCACATCCTCCAGGAAGTTCACAATGTGTTTTGGATTGAAATTCAATTTGAAAATAAGCCAACAAGCACCCCCTGATGGGACAGCAATAAACAAGAGTGTATTTTAGGCTTTTAACAAGCTTTTTTTTCCCTTCCAGCATTTTAAATTTACCCCACCAAGCTTCTCCTGTGTCAAGAACCCCAAGCCTTCCTGCTGTGGACACCAGCTACATCAACACATCACTCATCCAGGACTACAGGCATCCATTCCACATGACACCCATGCCTTATGACCTGCAAGGTGAGTTGGCTGCACCTGCACAGCTCTCCACACTCTCATTTAATTATACAATAAAAATAATTAGGTTTATATCTCTGGTAGCAAAGAGAATTTGAAGTGTCATCAGTGTTTGGCTGGTTTGATTTCAAAATAAGTGGTGAAAAATGGACAGGGGCAGTTTTGAGAAGCTGAATTTTGGTTTTTTTTGTCTCTTGACAGGTTTAGATTTCTTCCCTTTCCTGTCAGGTGACAATCAGGTAAGTCAGGGAGAACCAAATGCTGTGGCAAACACTTTTCCCAGCAGGATTTGCTGTGTGGGAGGCAGCAGCAGCATTATGTGAACACAGGTGTGGGATGAGGCACAGCAAAAATAAATATTTGGGGAGTTTTAAAATGTTAACCTCAGCAGCCACTTCATTGTGGAATGAAGGTGCAGCTTGATCCCTTCTCCTCCAAAAAAAGGGAGCTGGGATGTCTTCCCTTAACAGAGGGAAATTGCACTAAAATTGCCCTAAAAGCTGAGGGCCACTTTGATGTCCTCATGGAGAGCAGAGCCTGCACTGGGAATTTGGGTCAGGAAATGTGCCTGAATATCCAAGATCTCAGAACGATTCTGATCCAAGGAATGCTGCTCTGGTTGTGGAGAAGCCCTTGGGAACAAGGCTGGGACAGCCTGGTGGGAAGGAGCACTGAGGGCAGTCCCCCTCAGGGAGGTTGGGTTTAAATGGGATTTTTGGCTGCTCGAGCTCCTCCTCTCTGGGGCTGCAGCAAGAGGAGAACCTGGGACAGCCCCTGCTCCACCCAGCTGGCCCTAAGTGCATTCCCAGGATTGTCCTTGCTGCCAGCAGGGATCAGCACAGCTCCACTCTCAGCTGCTCACCCTGACTTCTGGGGGCTGGCAGAATGGACTGGGGAGAATTTCACCCCCAAGGACATTTTTGAACAGCTAAATAAAAAAAAGCCCCAAAAGTGCTGCTGCTTGCCCTTTTTTCTGCTTTGGGCTGTCTGATCCCATTCCTGCTTGCATTTTCCTTGCTTTGGGTTCTGATCCCATTCCTGCTTGCCCTTTTCCTGGCTGGGATTCTCTGATCCCATTCCTGCTTGCCCTTTTTCCTGTTTTAGGCTCTCTGATGCCATTCCTGCTCGCCCTTTCCCTGCTTTGGGCTCTCTGATGCCATTCCTGCTTGCTCCTTATCCTGCTTTGGGCTCTCTGATCCCATTCCTGCTCGCCCTTTCCCTGCTTTGGGCTCTGATCCCATTCCTGCTTGCCCTTTTCCCTGTTTTGGGCTCTCTGATCCCATTCCTGCTTGCTCCTTATCCTGCTTTGGGCTCTGATGCCATTCCTGCTCGCCCTTTCTCTGCTTTGGGCTCTGATCCCATTCCCTCCCTGCTGCTGTGGGTTTGGGTTTACAAACCATCTTTGTAACCCCAGCATCCCCAATTCCTTTCGGCTGCAAAACTGGGAAACCACAGAGCTAAAAATCCCTTTCATCTCCCACTGCCCGAGCTGCTGTGCAACCCAAAACCACCAAAACCTCCTTTGGACCCAAGCTCCATTTTTCCTGCTGCAAAAATCAGGATTTGAACCCTTTCTCCCCCAGCATTACAACACGTCCCTCCTCGCCGCCGCCGCCGCCGCCGTGTCCGCCTCGGACGATCAGGAACTGTTGCACTCCCGCTTTTTCCCCTACACCTCGTCCCAAATGTTCCTGGATCAGCTCAACGCCGGCGGCAGCAGCTCCCTGCCAGCCACCAACGGCAGCAGCAGCGGCAGCAACAGCAGCCTGGTGTCCTCCAACAGCCTGAGGGACAGCCACGGGCACGCCGTGGCCAGCAGGAGCGGCACGGACACGGCCTCCATCTTCGGCATCATACCCGATATTATCTCCTTGGACTGATCCATTTCTAGGTTTTTTTTGGGGTCGGGGGGGTTGGGGGTTGGGGGACAGAGGAAATCTTCGTGCTCGGTTTTCCTTTCTGTTCAGAGAAAAAAAAAAAAAAAGTTAAGACAAGGGGGTTTTTTTTTTCCTTTTTTTAAAAAAGGGGAAAAAAAAATTTATGTGTACAGAGAACAAAAAAAAAAAAGTCTATTTTCAGTTTTACTTTTGTATATAAACCTAAGATGGCCTCGCTGGTAAAAATAAGAAAAAAAAAGACAAAAGAGAAAAAAATTAAGAAAAACAAGGAGCTTCAGTTCATTTTTATGGATGCTGAAGATTTTACACCTGTGCATTTGTCATGTGAGTTCCTTTTCTTTTCTTTTTTCCCCCTATAGTTTGGACACCAATGGCATTATTTTCTCCACTGTTACAGAAACAGGAGAGGAGCTGAACTTCTAAAGTTCAAGCTTGGGGAGAGGGATTTTTCTCCTCTTGGAGACATTTCCCTCGGCTGGTGGAATGTAATTCCCCATCCCATATTTAGTGCAGATTTTATAATTGTGGCAGCAGAGCACTCCCTGCTCTGTCTGCAGCCCAGAGCCCTTCAGGAGTGGGGTTGGTTTTTTGGGATTTCTTTGACACTTCTGGTTCTGTGAGCCTCTCTACCCAAATTCTCCTTTTGAGTTCCATGCTTTAGTCAGGAATGTTGCAAATTCACCCAGGGAATGACACAAAACTGACTGGGAGGTTTAGGTTGGATTTCAGGGAAAATTCCACCTCCAGAGGGTGTGGGGCAGTGCCCAGGCTCCCCAGGGAATGCTGACATTCCCAAGGCTGCCAGAGCTCCAGGAATGCTGGGACAAAGCTCCCAGGGATGCACAGGCTGGGATTTTGAGATCCCTGTGCGAGGACTTGGATCCTGGTGGGTCCCTCCCAACTCAGAATATTCCACATTTTTGGGATTCAGTTACTCCTGAGGGCCTGACCCCATCAAATCCCAGCTGAGCAATGACCTGTGGGACAAGATGTTCCATTTTCGTGGAGTGGAGCCCCAAATCCCGGCTGAGGAACGACCTGTGGGACAAGATGTTCCATTTCCGTGGAGTGAAACCCCAAATCCCAGCTGAGCAACGACCTGTGGGACAAGATTCCATTTTCGTGGAGTGAAACCCCAAATCCCAGCTGAGCAACGACCTGTGGGACAAGATTCCATTTTCGTGGAGTGAAACCCCAAATCCCAGCTGAGCAACGACCTGTGGGACAAGATGTTCCATTTCCGTGGAGTGGAGCCCCACATCATTTTTGTGAAGTGGAGCTGAGGAATGATTTGTGGCACAAGGTGTTGAATTGTTGTGGAGCCTCAAGTCAACATCAAATCCCAGCTGAGGAATGGCTTGTTGAGGAATTCATTGGGAAATGAATTTGATTTGGACAAGATGATCCATTTGTATGGAGTGGAGCCCCAGATCCCGGCTGAGGAGTGACTTGTAGCATGAGATGTTCCATTTTTATGGAATGAAGCCCCTGATCCCATCTGAGGAGTGACTTGTGGGACAAGATGTTCCATCTTTTGTGAAGTGGAGCCCCAAATCAACATCAAATCCCAGCTGAGGAACGACTTGTTGAGGAATTCATTGAGAAATGAATTTGATTTGCACAAGAAGTTCCATTTCTGTGGAGTGGAGCCCCAAATCCCATCTTTGGAGTGACTTGTAGCACGAGATGTTCCATCTTTTGTGAAGTGGAAACCAAATCCCAGCTGAGAATGACTTGTTGAGGAATTCATTGAGAAATGAATTTGATTTGCACAAGAAGTTCCATTTCTGTGGAGTGGAGCCCCAAATCCCATCTTTGGAGTGACTTGTAGCACGAGATGTTCCATTTCTGTGGAGTGGAGCCCCAGATCCCATCTGAGGAGTGGTTTGTGGCACGAGTTGTTCCATTTTTGCGGAGTGGAGCCCCGGAGCAGCGCCTCTCCTGGGCTGGGGGGTTTGTGCTCAGTCCTGCCCAGAGAAGTTTTGTGCTCAGTCCTGCCCAGAGAAGTCCATCTCCCCCGAGCCCTGGCGTGTCCCTGCTGCAGCTGCTGTGTGCAGGCTCAGCCCGAGCCCCTGCCTGGCAGCAGAGGCTGCAGGTTTCAGTGCAGCAGCTGCAGGGGTGCTGCAGCTGGGGCTGTGCCCACACGCCCTGCCTGCTCACCCCTGGGTGTTCTGAACCCCAAACCCCCAGGACAACCCAGGTTGTTCTCCCCACCCCGCTCCTTTAGGGCCCGTGCCTTCCAAAATTCACTTTTCCCTTGGAGTTCTTTGGATTCCCCGGATTTTTTTCAGCCGTATTTAATTCCTGGTTTCTTTTCTCATTGTTTTGAAGTTGTGCATGACATAGGAATTTTTTTTTTTTGGGTCATTTGGGCTGATCCGTTCTTCTTAAGGAGTGGAATGTGTAAATAGCTGGAATGCAGATTTTTTCAGGAGATTCTTTAAAGTCAGAGAAAGGGGGAGGGAAGGAAGTGATTCTCTTGTGTCCCAAAGTCCATGTCAGAGAGAGTAAATATTTCCTCTGGTGTGAAAAATATTTTTATAACTGGTTGAAAGTGCAGGTATTGAGTTTATCAGGAAAAAGAGAGCTAAGGAATACTAAAATTAGCAGATTCTTGTCTGAATTTTTTCATGTCCAAAAAAAACTGTTGATTGCAAATAGTTGCTTCAAGCATTGACAAGGGCCACCTTTTGCCTATGAAGTCGTCTCAAAAAAAACAAATATAAATCTTGCATTGATTAAAAAAAAAGGAAAAAAAAAACAGGAAAAAATTTTAAAAAACCTGAGAAAAAAAGCAAAAAAAAAATCTTTAATCCAAGTAGCATTAGGTATTGCTGTCTGATCAGTTGTATGGTTATTTGAAAGGTTCACATGATGTGGCATCAAAAATTGTTTTTAGTGTTTTTACAGCATCCCTCTGCCACTAAATAGTTGACTTGAATTTTGGAAAAAGGAAACTGTTGGTGTTTATATGTATATGTGTGTGTATATATGTATTTATAGATCCGTGTGTGTGAGTTCCAGGTGAGTTCAATAGTTTTTTCCCATGCATGTGTATTTCATACATATCTGGCTGATATATTCTATTTCACCATACACCGATTTTATAATTTATTAAATGTCAGTTAAAAAAAGGAAAAAAAAGAAATAAAAGGATAGAAAATGGGAAAGACTTATTTTTGAAACAGTCTGATTTTGAAGTGATTCAGCCTCTGGTAGGAATATCTCTTACCCAGTTTAGGAGAAGATTTTTTGTGGATAAACTGGAAGATTTTTCTGGAACTGGGGGTGTGAGTGCCAGGTTTGCCTGGAGCCTGCTCTTGGAGCATCCAGCAGGAATTTGGGACTGCTCACAGCTCCTTTCCCACTTTCCAGGGGCCTGTGAAGGGTGAGCCCAGGAGCAGCAGGATCAAAACCCCGTTAATGCCCTGGCAACGGGACCTGGCAGTGCTGGCATCCTGGGATTTGGCACCTTGGGAATGGCAGGGGGCCTTGGGATCCCATTCCCTGTGATCCCACTGGGAGAAAGGCTCCAGGTGCAAAACCCTGGTAGTGCCATGGGAAATGGGATGTGGTGGTGTCCTGGGATTTGGCACTTTGGGAACGGCAGCATTCCCCATCCCTGTGATCCACTGGGAGGAAAGCTCCCTGTTAATCCCATGGGAAATGGGATGTGGTGGTATCCCAGGATTTGGCACCTTGGGAATGGCAGGTGCAAAACCCTGGTAGTGCCATGGGAAATGGGATGTGGTGGTGGTGGTGGTATCCCAGGATCTGGCACTTTGGGAATGGCTGCTCAGCCTGGTGCTCCCATTCCCTGTGATCCCAGTGTGGGGAAGGCTCCAGTTCAGGGCTGGCATTTGTGACCTGTGCCCTGCAGCATCCATGGCCTGGGATCATTCCGAGGCTGGAATTCCTCCGTGCCTGCACGCCCCAGTGAGCCCTGCCTGGTGCAAGTCTCGCTTGCTGCTCCCCATTCCCTGCCAGAGTCATTCCCAGATAACTCCTGAATTCCCAGATAACTCCTGAGTTCCCAGATAACTCCTCAATTCCCAGATAACTCCTCAATTCCCAGATAATTCCCAGACCCTGGCTCTGTGCTCTCCAGCTCTCCAGTGGCAGCCTGGCTCTGCTCCTTGGAATTGCAGCTGGATTGTGCTGGGGTGTGCCACGGGAGGGGCAAGGTGAGCACAGCCGTGGCTGGGGGGTTCCACACATCTGGGCTGAGCAGGTGTGCCTGGCATGTGCACACGCGTGTGTGGGACGTGCTGACACACCTGTGGGATGTGCACACACGTGTGGGACGTGCTGACACACCTGTGGGATGTGCACACGTGTGTGGGATGTGCACACGCGTGTGGGATGTGCACGTGTTTGTGTGTGGGATGTGACACACGTCTGGGATGTGTTCACGTGTTTGGGATGCGCACAGATGTGTGGGGTGCACACGGGTCTGATCTTCACACACCTGGGATGTGCACCTGTGTGTGTGTGGGATGTGCACACACACCTGTGGGACGTGCACACACACGTCTGGGATGTTCAGACACATCTGGGATGTGCACACACACCTGTGGGACGTGCACACACACGTCTGGGATGTGCACACACACCTGTGGGACGTGCACACACACGTCTGGGATGTGCAGCCACCTGTGGGATGTGCACACACACCTGTGGAACGTGCACACACACGTGTGTGGGATGTGCACAGGAGTGCCTGGGGTGTGCACAGACCTGTGGGACAGGAATGTGTGTGTGGGGGGGGACATTCACACACGTGTCTGGGGTGTGCACACGTGTGTCACACACACATTGGGACGTGCACACGTGTGTCACGCTCACACCTGGGACGTGCACATGTGTCACACGCGTGTTTGGGACGTGCACACGTGTCACACACGTGTCTGGGACGTGCACACGTGTCACACGCGTGTTTGGGACATGCACACGTGTCCCTGCAGCTGCAGCTGCCCTGGGGTGTCTGGGGTGTGCACACGTGTGTCACACACACATTGGGACGTGCACACGTGTGTCACGCTCACACCTGGGACGTGCACATGTGTCACACGCGTGTTTGGGACGTGCACACGTGTCCCTGCAGCCGGAGCTGGCACGAGGAGCTGCAGCTGCCCTGGAGCCCCTGTCCCACCCCTCAGGAGCTGGGAATTGCCCCTGGAGCATTCCCCAGGTTCCAGGAGCTCCTTGGGTCCTGCGGAGCTGCAGAGCCCAGGAGAAGGAGGAGAACGTGCTGAAAATTCGTCCTGTGTTGCAGTTGAGCATTTCAGGGTTTGAAGCCCATTTTAGTGGGAAAGATTTTGGTTTAGCAGTGGGATTTTATTTGATTTTATTTTTTTTTAAACAGAACTTAGATTTCTAACAAGGGAAAATCGCTGGTGGTCCCCGCAAGTGCTGCTGCTCATGAATTAACAAAGGGGGAAAATGTAAATAGGGACAATGTGAAAATGACCCGGAATGGAAAGCTCTCATCCATGGCCTTAAACCTTTTCTCTTCGTTTTCCTTAGGGCATGCCAAGCCAATCCATGGACTTACAAATGTACAGTAGCCCAGTGTCAGTTTGTATAAAAGTACCGAGTGAAAATATTTATTATATGCACTGGATAAAAAGAAAAAACCAAACAAACCCCTGGTTTACCCACGGAATCTTCCCTGTTTCTGTAGAAATCCCTGGACACAATAAAAGCATTCGGTTATTCTGTGTTTCCTGAGGAGGAAAAGTGGGAGCAGAGGGATTTCCTGGGTGTTTTTTGGGGCTGGAATGGTTTTTTTGGGATGATTTGGTGCTGTGAGAGCGCTGCTTTGTCCTGGGAGTGTGTGCAGGGCAGCTCCTCCCTGGCTGCTTTCCTTTGGGAATGTTTTCCCATCCTGGAGCATCCCAAGGACTGGGAGCTGCTGTGTCTGCAGGAATGGGGAGGGATGAGCCAGGGATGGACGGGATCCCTTGGAATGTGGGAACAAATTCTCAAGGAATTCCTTGTCCCATCAGCTGCACAAACCAAAGCTTTCCTGCATCCAGGAGAGCTCTGGGATCCAGGAGCAAACCCAGCGGGGGCAGAGCAGCATTCCCAGCTTCATCCAAACTTCGGGATGAGCGGGGTGGGAGCAGAGCAGGGAAATCCCACCTCTGGCTCTTTCCAGCTGCTCCTGGTTTTCCTGCAGTGCCGAGCTCTTTGTGACTCTGATTTCCAGAATTTTCTGGAGTGTTTCCTACCCCTGGAGTAGGAAGAGCTAATTAAGGCTTGAAGGGTGTGGCCGTGTCGCTTTTCCATGGAGCAAAGTTCATTTTCCATGGAACAAAGTGGATTTTCCCTGGAAAGAAGCTGCTGAGAGAGCCTGGAATGTGGGGATCCCAGCCTGGGCTCCCTGGATTGGGGAGAGCACAGGGATCAGGGCGTGGATCAGGATGGTTTCCCTCTCTGCAGGACTGAAATCCCTGGATCTGCTCCCATGCCTTGTGTGGAGTTCAGCAATGCCATTGAATTTTCCAGATTTTCCCCATGTTTGGTGTTCCATGAGGATAATCCCCATTTTTCCCTCACAGGGACACTGTTATGGATGTGGGAGGTTGGGATTTGTTGGGATTTTGGGGTTTTTTCCCAATTTCTTCCCTGCTTTGTGTGGCATTCCTGGGTGGTGGCCTTGGAGCATTCCAGCTCTCTGCAGGGATGAACCAGACTCCTGGGATAACTGGGGCTGGAAAGGACCTTAAATCCCATCTCAGTCCATGGCCAGGGACACTTCCACTGTCCCAGGCTGCTCCAAGCCCAGTCCAGCCTGGCCCTGGACACCTCCAGGGATCCAGGGGCAGCCCCAGCTGCTCTGGGAATTCCTCCCCAATCCCTTGGATCTGCTGGGGCTGCCAGGATTTAATTCCTGGTTATTTCACTGATGGAGCAAAGGGAGATTCAGGATTTAAAAAGGATTCAGGGAGAGGGGGAGGCTCCTGGAGCAGAAGCCAGAGCAGATTCCTGGGAATGTGGGAGTTTTCCAGGTCACTGCTTGTGCCACCATCCCTGTGAAAGCTCCCAGCTGAATCCAGGGAGAGCTGCCCGAAATTCCAGACACCCTTTGAGGAGCTGCTGAAGGCCCTGAGATCCAGGGGGGACAAAAACGAGGATCAGAGGGGGTTTAATCAACCTGGAAAACGAGGATCAGAGGGGGTTTCATCAACCTGGAAAATGAGGATCAGAGGGGGTTTCATCAGTCTGGGGTAGAGGAATTTTTCCTGGTGTGGAAAAGGGGAATTTTCCTGGGGAGGTTTTTCCTGGTGTGGAAAATGGGAATTTTCCTGGCCCTGTTTTTCCTTTATGGAGACACCAAACACCTGCTGGGCTGTGCTGACTTCTTGGAGAACCAGGAGACCTCGACCTTCTGCCACAATCCTGACATTTAAATGCTTTTAAAAATCATTTTTTTAAAGCTTGACACGTGTTGTCACACTCAGTTTATTTCAATAACAGTTGTTATTGCTATAATAACATACATATATAATAACATTATTTCTTGTTTTTCCAGGAATCAGGGGGGAACCTGTGGAAGTGTCAGCACTAAATGAAGGCAAAATCAGGTTTTGAAAGGCAACTGATGGTTCCTGAGTCTGACTAGAAAGTGGGAAAAATAGAAACAAAATCCCTCCAGGTGCTGCTCCAGGAAATCCACTCTGGGTTTCAGTAGTCGACCGCGGGAAGGCAAATGTGGTGCACAAATTCCTCGTATTTGATGGTTCCATTTGGCCCAACTTTGGCTTCTCTTAGCAGGTCATCCACTGAAAAATGGGAAAATGTCCTTGGGATGGGATGTTTGGGGGTGTTGGGGGCTTCAGAAGGAAAGCAGCACTGCAGGGTTTGGGGGATTTTTGTTGGCAATCACCTCTGGGATCAGGTGAGTTTCAAACTGGCATCAACCAGCACCTGGATTTTAATTCCATGTAAAATTCTCTGCAGCAGGGGTATCCGATTTTTTTTGAGTTCCACAGGGGGGAAAAAACCCCACAAATTTAGTCCAGGTGGGCTTTTGGGTTTATTGTGCCCCTCAGAGGCAAATTTTCTGACAAACTGGAGGGGCTTGTGGGGTTTTGCCTGTTTGTGCTTTGGTGTCTCCTGCTGGCACAGGAGGAGCTTCCTCATCCCAGAGGCAGCTGCAGAGGGGAAGGGAAGGGAAGGGAAGGGAAGGGAAGGGAAGGGAAGGAAAAAGGAAAAGGGAATTAGGTCCCAGAGGGAGCTGCAGGGCACCTTCCTCGTCGGAAAGCTTCTCCCCCAGCCGGGTGAGCTTGGCGCGCAGCTCGGGCACGGAGATCACTCCTCTCTTCTGCCGGTCGATCATGGCCAGGGCTCTCAGGATCTCCTCCTTGGGCTCCTCCTGCTTCATCTGCCTGTACATGATGTTCAGGAAGGTGGAGAAGTCCAGCTCTGCGTTCCTGTCTGGGAAAGGGAGGGCAGATCCTTTGGGAACGGCTCCGTTTGGGGCTGGATCCAGGATTAAACATCCTCCTCCTCCTCCCCCAGTTCCCTTTCCTGGGGTTCCCTTTCCTGGGGTTTCTTCTCCCTGCCCTTGGGGCTTCCTTTCCCTGTCCCTAATCTGGATCAGGGCACGTCAC